AATAATCCGAAAGTGTTCATTGGCTCCCTCTAAATGTGCTGGGGAAGCGGGCCAGGATGTGGAAACCTTGGGATCTTCAGAAGACGTCCCCAGCATTGAGCCCAGCAAAGCCCAGCAATTAGTCTGCCCCTCCCCCCGCCCACCTGGCTCTGAGCCTGGAGTCTTTATAAACCCCTGCTCGACCAGACGCGGCACTTGTCTGCAGCCCGTGCTTCCACTAAAGCTGGGCCTCCCCAGCCCCTGCTGGTGGAACAATGGAATCATTTCCCATTTCCCCTTGAGTTTCCAGGGGTTCATGTGCTTTATCTCCATTTCATTCTTTAATCCTCCCAACAACCCCGAGGAGCAAGTACTAATATTACGCCTTTTTACAGACAAAGAAGCTGGCTCAGACAGGCTGGGTTACTTGTCCAAGGGTGCACTGCTTATAAGTGGAGGGGCTGGGGTTAGAACCCTTAATATTTTTCCCTCCCCACCTGTTGTAACCCCTCTATGTACATTTGTGTCTTTCCAGGCCAACACTCTCTAGTAAAATATAATGTGAACCCTATATGGAATTTTACATTTTTTTGGTAGCCACATTAAAAAGTGATAAGAAACAGGTGAAATTTATTTTAATAATATATTTTGTTTAATCCAATATGTTAAATATATTATCATTTCAACATGGATTCAGTATAATTAATTATAATGAGAATGTTGCTTTCTTGTATACATAAGTCTTTGAAATCTGATGTATGTTTCACTCCTGCAGCTTAGCTGGGACTGGCTGCATTTCAGGTGCTCAGTGGTCATGAGGTGAGTGGCTACTGGTTGGACTGGGCTAGTGCTGGGCTAGACTACAGTGATACTGCCAGCTGCATTGGTGTGTGGTTTTCAAGTGAGTTGACGTATATACGCAGAGTGCTCAGGACGCTGTGCCCAGGACACAGTGAGCCTGGTCAACATTAGCCCTCATTATCATCCGTGTTACTGGGACGTAGGGCGCCGCATAGGTGTCCTCGAATGAATGAACAAATCTGCCGGATCCTGCTCCTAGACTTTTGCAGTATTATCCGGTTCTATTGCGACCCTTCCTGCTGTGCTTTGCTTCCTGGGCTGTGGTTGGCATCCCTCCCAGCCCCTCCTGGAATTCCACCCTGGACCCTTGCTGGCTCGCTTTCCTTGCTCCCGTATAAAACCCACAGAGTGTGCACCAACCTCTCCCCACTGCCCAGAAAGATGACGGAGGTTCCTGGGAGGAATCCCAAGGTTCTGTTTGTACAAAGCCCAAGGCAGCCTCCTGGCATTTGGCTGCTTTGCTGGAGTGTGGCAGGGCCTTTTCTAAAACCTAGGGGAGCTGAGTGTGCTGAGGGGCCTGGAGGCACTGCCCAGCCCGTGGTCAGGGTCTGGTCTCCCAAAGAGCACTGCTGTCGTGCCCATTCCAGAGGGCGAACCCTCGCCAAGTGCCTGCTCAGGTGGAAAGTGTCTCTTCCTGCCACGCTCTCAGCAGCATCCTGGACAAGCTGTGGGCAGGAGGGGCGCTGAGCTGGGAGCAGAGCTTCCAAGCTACCGGAAGAGGCTCTGAGCAGGGAGCTGGTGGGTGTGAGGCCCAGGGTGGGGTTTGAAATGCTAGCTCAGATCCAAACTATGGACGGAAGGTGTAAAGAAGGCATCTTGTTTACGGTTCTGCAATTTTTTAAAAGCGATACGCCACGTACCCGGGTCCACACTATCCTGCAATTGGTCCCAGGAGTGAGAATGACTTTGCATTTCACACTTAGCAGATGCATCCTCACACACACACACACACCATGGGGATTTATATATGCAGGCAAGCCGCAGTCACACACACACGTACACACGTACATCTGTACACACCCCACATACATTAATATGGGTCTCACCTGTGAACGGACTACCACAGACCTGCTCTCTGCCCAGGAATTGATTAGCGGGGCATTTGTTTATCCATTACGTGCTTCTGCGAGGCTTCCCTCGAGCAGGCCTGTGTTCACTCACCAGCAGCAGGGAGCTCGGTGGGGCTGAGGTTGCTAGCCCCCATTGACAAGGGAGGACAGTGAGGTCTGGAGTGATTAAGGGACTCGCTGAAGCTGGCACAGCCGTGGTAGACCCTGAACCCAGCCTCTCTCTCCTGGATGACATCGTCCTGTCACCTCTCATTCCGACATGTGGGTGCTGTCACCTTCCTCGCTAGCCTGTGAGCTCTGTAGGGGCAGGGACCATGTACTTCTCGTTCTGCACAAGTATGTGGACCAAGACGCTGTCCTGCAAAGAGCTGGACCTAAGTTCAAATGTCAGCTCCACTGAGTACTCGCTGTGTCACCTGGGACAAATTACTTAACCTCTCTGAGCTTCAGTTTTTGCATCTACAAAGGAGGATAATTAATCTGCTTAATGGTATTGCTATGAGAATTTTAGGAGATGCTTAATAAATGTTAATAAGTGTCTGTTGGATGAAGCAACGAAGGTCTTATGTACATATATATGTGGCATTTGGCACAGGACTTGGCAGTGCTCTCTAAGCATGGGCCCTCTCTCTCAGCACACGGTGGGTACTCATTATGTGTAGAAGGAAGAAAGGAACAAAGAGATGGGAAAACAAGCCATATCTGCAGCACGCCTTTATCATACATTACATTCCCGAACATACTTGGCTGCGTTTCTGAGCTCCATACCCCATCCTGCTTCTTGATTTATCGCTTCCTGGGTTGGCATCTTCCTCCTTCAGTTACAGACCCTTTCGATAAGCCTGGAGTATCTGACTGGGCAAGTTTTCTGCTTCCTAAGTTTTCTTGGCAATTCTCAGAAACTCTTTCTTTCATATGCACATCTGTAATCATTTTTTCCATCAAACTCCCACTGGCCCCCTGAGTGGACTTGCGTTCCTGTTGTATATTCATTTAGGAAGGATGGCCATGTATGGAATGTGGCTGTTAAGCAGGGCACTGGTGGCCATTTGTCTCACGGCCTCACCGGGGGAGTTAATGATGCCCCGAGAGGTCTAGTGCTGGGCTATGTGCCAGGAGCCCCCAGATTGGGGACAAGTGTGGGCTGGGCGGTGCCGAGTCCCCAGGGAAGACCCAGGGCGGGGGGGCGGGGAGAGGTGCACAGAGGAGAGCTACTTCACCTCCTCCCAGGAGCCTTCCCTCCATCCTGCTGCCTGGGTCTCTCAGGACCCTCGGCCCTGTGCTGCGGGTCCCCTCTGCTGAGCCCGCGGCTCTGTTCCCCACTCCGCCCCAGCGCTGGTGGCTCTGCGGAGGTACCTGGGGCTCCTGTGTACTTGGAGCCACCCGCAAGCTTCTCTCCTCCTCCTCACTCAGACTCTGGCCACCCCACACCTCACACCCCTTCTCCATCCACCCCCTGTCCTCCTGGCCATGGCACCCTGAGATGAAGGCAAATCTGTCTCCTTCTGGTTGCTCCAGTTTGCAGGAAATGCTCAGTTTCCCCTAACCTAGGAAAGCTCTGGAAAAAAGAGCAAGATTTGGTAGGAAAAGATCTAACTTTGGGCCCTGGCCACTTATTAATTATGAGACTCTGGATGAGTCCCTCACTTGCTCTGTCTCCATTTCTTTCATTGGTAAAATGGAATTGAGAACTTTGTGGGCTCGGCCCAGTGGCCTAGTGGTTAAATTCGAGTGCTCTGCTTCAGCAGCCTGGGGTTCGCAGGTTAGGATCCTGGGCATGGACCTACTCACCACTCATCAAGCCACGCTGAGGCGGCATCCCACATAGAAGAACTAGAAGGATCTACAACTAGGATATACAACTATGCACTGGGGCTTTGGGGAAAAAAAAAAGAAGTTTGTTTGTAGGATGTTTGTACCAGCTATGGGCAGGCACTACGCAAGGTATGGAGGATTGAACAGTGAATCACACAGACACACGCCCTGCCTGGTACACACCATGGTACACATGGTACACACCGGGGCACTTGGAGGAACACCCATCACCCAGCTCCCACGAGGCCACCGGCCCATGGTTGGCCATGAGCTCTCAGCCTCCGATCTGGTTGAATCCGAACCAGTGTCTTTGAGCCCATGGGCAAGTAGCTTACCCCCCAGCCTCAGTTTCCTCATCTGTGAATGGGACTTATTGATCCCAAAGGAATCAAAGAAGGAGAATCAATTCCCCTCTTGCTATCTTCCCACTGACTCTCGGATTTGCCCCTGGCAGCAGGCCCTGGCCTGGCTGTGTGATCTCCAGTTCAGAAGCCCTTCCCAGCTGCCCACCTCCAGCTGCTTGCCCCGCGCCTGCCTCCGCGCCTGGAGCCAGCAGGCTGGCTGTGTGCTGCCACGCATTTTGTGCCCCTGGCTGCTCCTGGGATGGAGGTGGGAGAGAGAGAACCCTCAGGAGCCCCCTGAAGCAGCGGGCTTTATATACAGGACCAAATGTGCATGTGTCAGACACTGTAGAGGGCTATGCAAGCCCAAGGCGGCTGCAGTTGAGGTTAGAAATCCATCCCCAGCACTGTTTGCCCGAGAGAGGTGCTTCGGTTGAAAGCTGGCATCTTCCTTTCCAACTTTTCTTGGCATTTTCCATCTCCCCTCCTTGTAGTGTCTCCAACACTTGGAGACTCGTTTTCCAAACTCAAAGACTCTAGAAGTCTCCTAACAACTTTTTCACTTTATGGAGCTCAGAGAGGGTGTGTGACTAGCCCAAGGTCACTCAGCCAGTCTGGGCAGAGCTGAGCGTGGAGTCCAGGCCCCCGACTCCTGGTTCCACCGAGTGCCCCTTTCTGCTGTTTCAGGCGGCAAAGAAGGGCATGGAGGATCCGCTTGTTTTATTTCTCCAGGTGCTGCCTCTTCCTCCTCGCCCTGCCAGGATCTGCTGACCCTGCCCAGCCCTACTCCTCACCTAGGGCCTTGCCTCTGCCCCCAAGCGGGCACCTCCCTGCCCCCACCACTCCAGCCCCTCTCATGCCACCCACCCATGCAGCAGACCGGGTGGAGGGGGGACCTGGGTCCCCTCTCCCAGCCCCTGCAGGCAGGACTCACCGTGGCCAGGGTGCTGCCTGCAGCTGCTGCTGTCACCACTGCCAGCGTCCAGGGCAGGAACCACCTCATGCCTGGAAGTCAGTGGCAAAGGCATCGACCGAGCAGCCCAGAGGATCCAGCCACCTCTCGGGGGAGCTGGGCCGAGACTGGCCTGGCCCATCAGGAGCGCCAGATACGCCTCTTCCCGCAGTCTTTGGGGGGTTTTATTAAAGCGAGATCTGACGTCAGAGTTGAGGACAAACCCTGCATTTTCCTCTGAAAAAACTTTTCCTGCCTCTCTCTCTTTTTTTTCTTTCTTCCCTCTGTCCCCACCTCCAGCCCAGGCTTGGCTGGCCTCCCCGGCTCTGACAGTTCTTAAAGGGAAAGTTACAGGGCTGTGATTTCACACTGGGGCGGTACATTCTCGCAGAAGGAGCTGGGGTCATCCTGCCGGGGTATTTCACAAAGGTGGGGAGGGGGAGATGGTGGAGGGTGCGGGTGGAGGTGGAGATACAGTTACGGGCCAGGATGGAGGGCCGGGGGTGCTTCGAGAGGGCTCCCAGTGGGGAAAAGAACCTCCCTCCCATTCCTTCAGGCTGCTCCTACTTCTGGTTTTCATTTGTCATCTCTCACTCTTCTCTCCCTGGCTAAAAGGAAACGAGGACGGCTTGAAGCGCGCCAATCTAGAAGTGATAGGAATTTGCAAATGAACTCAGCGCTGGGGCTCAGGTTCTCGTCACCATAGATTAAAGCCGTGGGTACCGATTTGCCAGAATTCCGTCCCTGCTCGTTAGCCAGGACCTTTGGTGCAGGAGCTGTCACACGTGCCACACAGGTAAGGAGTCTCCTATGGGGCCTGGTCTGCCCTCGTCCAGCCCCCTTCCTTGCACGGACCTCAGTGACAGCCTCTGGACTGGTTCCCCAGCCTCCCCTCCAGACCTCCACTTTCCACGCTTCTCACAGCCACCAGAGCCGTCCTTGGAAATCTAAGATCATGGCACTCCCCCACCCCCGGCCCCATACAGCCTCCCAAAGCCTGCCCATTGCACTTAGCACGGAATCCCCAGTCCCAGTGTGGCCTCCAGGCCAGCTGCCTCCCTGAACACGTCTCTTTCCACTCTCCCTCTCGTGCATAAGTTCTCATCTCTGGGCCTCAGTGGGAACGCTCTACCCTGTGGTTTTATTTTATTTATTTATTTATTTTTTGTGAGGAAGGTCAGCCCTGAGCTAACATCCGTGCTAATCCTCCTCTTTTTGCTGAGGAAGACCGGCTCTGAGCTAACATCTCCTCTTTTTTTGTTTTCCCCCCTAAAGCCCCAGTAGATAGTTGTATGTCATAGTTGCACATCCTTCTAGTTGCTGTATGTGGGACGTGGCCTCAGCATGGCTGTGGAAGTGGTGCGTCGGTGCGCGCCCGGGATCTGAACCCGGGCTGCCAGCAGCAGAGCGTGCACTTAACTGCTAAGCCACGGGGCCGGCCCTACCCTGTGTTTTTAAATAACAGTTACTCCTCTTTTCTTTCCCTGTGGCTTGTACAAGGGGGTGCTGAAGCAAGAGCGGCTGCTTGAAGGTTGTGGCAGGCTTGTGTCCACGGAGGAAGTTTATAACCACAGACATGACCCCACAAGAGGTGACTCTGGGGATCTCTCCATTCGCTGACCTGTGAGTGGGCCTCTGATTTAATTCTGGCCAATGACACAAAGGAGAAGTCTGCTGGGGGCTCCTAGAAAGGATTCCATTCCTGGGGGGGAGGAAAAGCTTTTCTACCCACTCTCCTTTCCTTATGTGCAAAGTTGGCGGCTGGAGCTGCAGCAGTTTTGTTGGGTATACAAGGCACAAGCCTTAGAATGAAAAGCCAACATGCTGAGGATGCTGGAGCAGAGGGAGGGAAATAGTCTGGGTCTTTGGGACTTTATGGTGTTATTGAACCAAACCTGGAACTGCTACCTCTAGAATTCCTATTATCTGAGTTAATTCAACGGCTTATTGCCTAAGCCATAGTTAGTCAGGTATTCCATTCCTTGAAGCCAAATGCATCCTCATTGATATACAGTCATGTGCTGCATAACGACATTTCAGTCAATGACAGACTGCATATTTGATGGTGGTCCCATTAGGACCATGTAGCTTAGTGGGTAGTAGGTTGTACCATCTAGGTTTGTGTAAGTGCACTCTGTGATGTTCATACAATGACAAAATCACCTAACAACGCGTTTCTCAGAATGCATCCCCGTCGTTAAGTGATGTGTGACTGTATGGGGATTTATGGCAACGGTATATAAAAAGTGACAATGGAGGTATTTGTGACGCAGAGACTGCCCAACAAGTATCAGCCCTCATTTTTTTCTCATGAACTTATTAGATGCTCTTAAAACAAATCCCACAAGGCAAGCACTGTGGACAGGTGTCATTAAAGGAGTCACCCCAGGTGCTAGGTGCTAATCCAGGTTCAATGCCCCTTTGACGAGCACCAACTACGACAGGCCCTGTGAGATGTCTCACAGCCATAAGGCAAATGACATTACTACTGCATGTTACGGGGGAGGGGAAACGGGAACTTAGAGACACCAGGCGACTTCAGGGCAGACAACAAATTGTGACAGCCTTGGGCTGAAACCAAAGTCTCTGAACCCTGACAGGGCACAGGGTCAGGACCGGACACTTCCAAGCCAGCCTGACCCACAAAGCCTCTCGATATTCAGTGACAGGAGCCAAGCTGCACCCGGAGAATACCAGGGTGGTTTTTAGGATATCTGATCGCGACGAGCAGTGGGAACAGACATCCCAAAGCATGATGAAAATGCTGACCACTCACACCTGTTGGTGAAGCCTCAGATGGCCCAGCCGGCCCTGCTGGCAGCTGCCGTTCCCAGTACCAGCGACACCTGGAGAGAGGTGACACAGTGACCCAGGCAGGGCAGTGGGTTAGGAGGAAAACGCCTGGGGTGCTGCTCCCGCTCTGCCACTGGTGGGCCTTGGACAACCAACTGTCTCTCTGAGCCTCAGTTTCCCTTGTTTGAAGAAATAGGACCATATTAGTGTCTACCCTATAGGGTCATCAGGAGGCCCGAAGGAGACAATCAGGTGTGTCCAGCTTTGTGAATGAGGGGCCCAGAACTGGCTGCAGCCTGGGCCGAGATGATTGGGTTGTCCTATGTCCGTCCTGTGTCAAGGGTTGGGCGTCTTGGGGGAGCTTCTGATGCAGCCTGGGTGTGTGGCTGGGGTCAGCCTTCATGAGTGGGGGTCCAGGGCCAGGCACTTCCTGCACGTGACCTGGGCAATCTCTAAGTGACTGGCCGGAGGTGACCGGAACAACGGCTGCCATTTACGGAGCACCCTCTGCGTTCTAGGAGACACTTCTTATCTCAGCGAATCTTCGTTTCAGTTCATCCTCACACCCGGTCTCCCACTAGATATCATTATCCCTGTTCTACACAAGAGGAAACTGAGGCACACAGAGATTAAATAACTTTCCCCAGCCATTCAGCTAGTGCATGGCAAAATTGCAATCAGAGCTCAAACTTGTGTGGCTCCAAAATAATTTTTTTTCAAGCACACCAAGCTGCCTTATGTGTTGAACAAGTAAGTGACTAAATGGAGGAATGAATGACAGATGGACAGGCAGATGGACGAACGGATGAGCGTGTGGGGATGTGATTCCACAGCCGCTGTTGGGAATATTTCATTTCCCAGGTCTTTCTTCCAGGATGGGCTCTGCATCTTTAGTTTTCCACAGCCAGGTCCCCCTTCCCTGACCCCTCCACCTAAATGGGCCCCCAGTTGGCATCTAGCTCCATAACCCATTCACCTCCTTCCCAGCCCATAGCCCAGTGTGCCATTGTTTGTGTATTTAGTTATTGACTGTCTCCCGCATAGTTTGTGAGGTTCAAGGGCGAGACCAGGCCCACATCTTCCTCTCTATGCTGTACCCCCGGCACCCGCACAGCATGTGCTTGAGACAGACTTTAAGTGATGGCCAAATGAATGAATGAAGCAGACGCCTGAGGTGGTGAGGGGTGTACGTATTGGTGAATGAAGGGAGGAAGAAAAGGAAGAAGGAAGGAAGGACGGAATATCTGGAGAAGGAGACAAACATGTCCACCTGTCTCTCAGGCCGCACTGTGCTCCCAAAGTGCCTGGAGGAATATGTAGCCCATGGTGGGTCTTCAGAAACCACTTGCTGAGAGCGTGAGCTGGGAGTAAACGAAAGAGCAGGCTGTGCCGTGTCCTGGCGAGCCGAGCTGACATCAGGAGTGTGCGGGTGGAGCTGGGGGTGACAATCTGCATTTCCCATGGGCACCACACCATTATTTATTTCCATCGTCATTAGTAATTAATTTCTACCTGTGCTGCAGAGGGTTCACGGCCACTGCCAAGGCCACACAGGGCCCCCTCTGGACTTAGCATCTATCTGCTCCCTCTCATTTATCCCTGCTTCCCACGACTCTCCCCCGTTCTCCCCCCACCACAGGCTCGGTCTGCATCTTTGACTTGCACCATTTGTACGTGTGTATCCTCGTAAAGTATGCAGTGCGGTTGTTCATTTAACGATCACGCACGAAGCACTCGCTATGTGCTAAGCACTGCTCTGAGGAATTTGCAGGTAGGTGCTCATTTCCTCTCCTCTTTTTATTTGGGGAAATCGAGGCACAGAGACTAAAGGACCTCGCCTGAGGTCAGCGGCAGAGCGCGGATTCGGGACCAGGGAGGGGGCTCCAGAGTCCTGTGCACCCGTGAATGTTTGTGTGGGTAAAGGGCAGGGTGCTGCGGTCTGCACCCAGTGCTCCTTTCTTCCACTCAGTCCTGTTTCTCAGATCTCTTTGGCTGCGTCTTTCTGGTGTGTGGCATCTGCTGTTGCCTCAGTTTCCCCAGTGTGCAACCTTCAGGATTTCCCTTGTCCCATCCCGCGAGTGAGGGGCCCTCACATTCCCTCCATCTCTGCACCAGCAGGCCCAGACACGTCCCTTACGGGCTTGTCGGAGGGCTTCTCTGGAATTCAGGCCTCATCATTAGTTGTCACCGTAGCTGATGTCATTCCTGTGTGGCAGATGGTTCAGTGCTGCCTGTACAGGCCTGGGTTGGACTTCTGCCTCCTGCCACTCATCTGCTGTGTGACTCTGGAGAAGTCACATAACCTCTCTGAGTGCTGGTTTCCTCATCTCTAAAACGGGGATGAGAGGGGTCCTGATGGCTCTGAGCTGCTCCTGGCACAGAGTACGTGCCGTGTCAGGATGTATTAAACAAGCTTTGCACATAGTCAGTGCTCAATAAAACCCCTCG